CAGATATTTTAGGTTTTCTGATGAAGAATCCTGTTGAAATACACAGACTTATTGCATTCTGAAACCTTTCAACATTCACCAACTGTTTTTAAAAGTATCTTTCATATTGTGACATGTTGATATGATTCTAGAATGCAATCAGAAACCTCAAAATGTGGAAGTAGCATAAGACCATAAATAATAGTATCAACTTTTAAGATAAAATTTGCTTTCTGTGCTCTTAATGTAGATACATTGTTACTTCAATGACTCAGGTAAATATTTAATACTTAAATTGGCAGATGCTTCAAAATCAAGGTGAAATACTTCTTTTAAATACAATATTCAGTGTACTCTGAAGTACTTTTCAGGGATAACGAACACAGCTCAGAGAAACTTGTCTGTTTAGTTCATAAAACAAATGGAGCTAACACATGGAAGCGAATGGTGATTGTTTTGTGCCTAACTAATATTATGAGCAATACTTATAATTCATTGAATTAAGTGAATAGATATGCTTCTTGAAACATTACGGTGCCTTACGGAATTGAGAATTTCTCTTAAGTGTATTTATCATCCAAGCTACTAATATTGTGCTGGAAAATTATAACACTTAGTAATACCAGTGGAAGGAAGTTGTTACTTATAAGAGTAGTGAAGTTAGTCTGTTGAATGAAAATTCTTTTAAATTTACATAAATTCCGTCACGAAGGTAGATGTTACACTCATGAATTCATTTATTGTGATTTATTGGTAGTCACTTCAGTTATGTAACACGGAATGTTGATTATTGTAGAGCATCATAATTTAAGCTAGCTCTAGCCAATTTATTTCTTTAATTTGAGGGTTTGTGGGGATTTATTAGTTGCTTTGAAGTTGCTATGCATCATGGACTGACATCAATAAATCCCCACAAACCCAGAAATCGAACTAATCTAGTGTTTATTGGTGACTATCTTCAAGGAATGATTCTTGAAGTTCCAATGAGAAGTCATACATTTGACCCAAACCTTGTGGCTGTGAGAACAAATACTCAACGATGACATTGGGTGATGGCCACGCTATGTCATAAACTGGAAGAAGTTGGAGATTTGTACCATCAGATTCCTACCCAGTGGCTCAGTGGCAACGTGCTGATCATGAAACCTGAAGGTCCTGAGTTCGATCGTTAGCTGGTTAGGGTCATGAGTGCACACTGATGGAGAGTTCAATACAAAGACAAAACAGCTATCCAGTGCTCCCAGGTTTCGAATGTTCTTCTAACTTATGTCAATCCACGATGAATACTGACTTGAAATCAATTTGTTTTCATACTTCATAAAGGAAGGTAAATTTACTTATAGTCAATAAAGTGAATATTGATTTTTCTGGACATTTTGGTCACCACAAGAAATGCACAATTTCGAACACAGAACTAATTAATAATATTTTGTTGCTTTTCTATCAGCTACACACATAGCAAGTAAGTATCTAACATTTTTCAGCAAGTTGAGTAACGCAATTTCGTGACTAAAATCTTTAGGATGGTTATAGCAAAATCATATTTCGAATCATCTCCTGGAAGAAATGTTTTGGTCATTGGGCAGCATCGGTGTGTTCAATTAAGCTTACTTCCTCCTGCAGAGCTGGGTACATCCACCTTACCATGCATCCACTTCTAAAATGTGCTTGTGAACACTACCCGACCTGGTAAGCAAAGGGAGAAAGAAATGTGTGTTTAAGCTAATTAACAGATCACCTAGTGAACTCAAGCCATTCGTCTTCTTTTGAGAACTCTTTCAAAATCCTCTGTAAGGTTCAAGGCATTTGGGCAAAGCTGAAGAACTGGTCACTCAAAAGTTCGAACTAGTACTATTTGCTCAGAAAAAGTACATCCAACCTTTATCTTTGCCAGGGCCATCTGAAGGTCTTGACTATCCTGGACAAATTCGATGTTACGTTATCATGTTTTTATTTTCTTAGCCTCTTGTTTATTTTTTACTCTAAACTCTCATTTGCATTATTAAACCTGTTTCCATGATTCAATATATTTTGACCTCTAATGGGAAGTACTCCTGGAATGTTCCATCCACCGCAACATATATACATGATTCTACAGTCTTAGTAAATATCTTCGTGGAAAAGAAAATTTGTCCTTCTCTGCAATCGTCTATTTTGTCTTTTCTTATGATCAAATAGGTATATTCTACTGACTGAAAACAGCGAAAATTCACAACAGAAAAATAAGATACAGAAGTTAATTTAAACAAAAAATATAATCGTCGGAAATAAAAACAGGAAAGTGGAAGGTGAATGATCAGAAAACGGAAAAGGGACAAATAGTCTAATGGTAACTAGAAGAGTATTCAACATACTGTCGCAGTAAAATATGGATTTTTCAAATAACTACAGATTGACTGAATTAAAACTAAGACAGAATCCTTTATCAGTTCATTGTTTCAAGACTTGGAAATGTGTCTAACATGTGTTCTTGGTTGAATTAACGATAATCAGTTTAACCCGTTAGTGACTGTTAAGTACTCTGCTCTCAAGGACTCATTTTACCGGTTATTTGGCTATACTGGTTTTAGCACTTATATATGAACCTAGCTATCTGGAAAGTAGAAAGTGGCCGGGTACATTCAAACTGTACGTTACTATTCAGAGATATACAATTCACCGTAATGTAAGACTGAAGTAAAGTACGCATAAATTGCTACCAATATATTTTGGTAAATTTTTCGAAACACCCGTTTACCCCAAAGGGACATTTTGAAATGAATTAACCTATCATAAACTTACCTTATGAACAAATATCTCCAACTCTGTTGAAAAATGGCTCACCAAACATTTGTTTTCAGTCCGCTAGAGACATTTGGAATATGCGGTCTCCAAATATTCACCCAAAAGTTGATCACTTAAATATCCCCACTTAATAGTGAGAGAAGTCTTATAATTAACTGCCACACGTTTGAGGCACTGGAATAAAATTCTGCATATTGCAAGTATGCAATAAAACGATTTCAGCAATTCGTATAAAGTAATCAAGATATCCTTCAAACTATGCAGAAATGATTATATGTGAAGTGCTTACAAAGGTTTTCTTACAACTATGCTAACTTTTGACCCTGGTAATTTACCTTAGTTAACACTGGTACCAAAGGAAAGTGGATATCAGAAATTTAGATTCATTATCACGTCTATCAACTTGAGCTAATGTTTTTGGCAGTTCAGCGAAAAGTGAAAAACTTTAACTAGAGGACAGTCTTATAATTTGAATTATTTCCTTTAAAGAGAATAAAGAACCTCCTCCGAATCAGCTGAAGCTATTTTATGAATGCTTCAACAAACAGTTTCATAATCTCAGTTACCCAGATAAACAGCTTTACATGATATCATGCACAATTATGAGCAATGCCTTCACCCCTTGAATGAGGATGGCAGAGCAAACTAAAAACTCTGAACTAGTCTGCAAAGTGACTGAATACTCAGGAATTGTGAGGTTTTTTCTCATGATGAGCTCTCGGTTTTATTTTACTGTCTTGATTAGGTGCAGAATGAAATTAATATATTATTTGTTTTGAGTAGGAAATGGAATGGACTCTTTTGGTATCATGCTAGCACTTCGTAAAAACAGACAGTGTTTTGCCTGATTTGAAGAAAACAGTTTAACCATAATACAATGGGGAGAAGCTTCATGCAACCACAGATGGCTACACAACAGGTTAACTGGAGCTTAGCAATGGTTACTGATTAGACAAACGACAATTAAAGCCGATTCTATATATCACATTTTTCACTTGGAGATTTTATGCATACATAGCTTTTCAAAATTTGCAAAGGTCAAGAAAAACTGTAGGAAAATTTATGCATTTTGAGTTAGGTACAAATAAGCATAAGATTCTAATAGAGTTCTGTTGTTTCACTGATTACAGTTTTTACTTGAATGCTTGCTACCGAAGGTCGCAATGAACTGATTTTGGAGTTTTTTTGTAGGAGACAAGACTATGACGTTCATTCCTTCATCCCTGTCATGCACGCGAAAATACCAAGTCAACATCTCTAAAGTATGCTGTGGGTCATATTATAAAGCAGTACAGTGTTGTACATCACCACAGAAAAAAGCATTCAGACTGTATGTTAAAACTGTTGTCGTCATTAATAATATTGGGTGAAGTATATGCCCAAAAAATACGGTTTATTTTGATAGTAATATGCAATTATAATTAGAACTGGTATCAATAATAATAGATTGTATTCCTTTTTACTGATTGAGATAGCATCCAGAGTATACTGGTTTCATACGTACTACATTTTTAGCTCGCACAACTAATGGTTAAGTTCAAACATATGATAAAGCTTATTTCGTTGCAGTCAGTGATGGAAATTCTAAAGAACTTTAAGCCTAGATGGTAAAATCAGAAAATGAAGTATTTTTAAGAAAGAAGGCTGATGTCAGAAGTATTTTTATATTCAATTTAGCCAGAGTTATGCTGGTTTACAGGATACCTTAAGAATAAGATTATTTCTTATAGTTTATCCGAAGATCAGATACCAGGCAAATTGGTAAAAACGGATTTTAGCAGCTTATGGGCATTGAAACTTCTCGAACAAGACACCAGACTTAACTGTTACACTAACTTCGCTAATTTCTTGAGCTTTAATCATTTGTGTTGTAGCAGCGATAAGTGAGTAAATAGGCATTTTTTACTGTCACTTTACGCAGAAAGCCTCTATTGCAAATGTAGACAACATGGTAACTGTTTACACTGACAAAAGTGAAACTGCTGACGCCTTATGGGCTTATAATCATAGTTGAGCATTTTTATTGGATGGACAAATAAAAATAACCTAATGTCATTGACCATTGGTTCGTTTTTTGTTAATATTAACCATTCACAGAAGAGAAAATAAATCTTCACAAATTCCATGTGATTTTAAGTTTATTTCGAAATAAGTACTTCAAACAGTCAACTTACAACACATCTAATGCTTTTAAATTATTTCTGCTTGCTTAATACTTTCCTCACCAGCATGATAACATGTTAGTTTTGCTTCGGTTAAGAAAATATATGAACCGGATATTTGGTCTTATAATTTTTATGCTAATAATTAATTTTCAAGACGTCATTCCTAGTTTGCTGGACTTAAACAAATATGTGAAAATTTCACTATCCAATATTTCCAGAGTTGATAGTGATTCGAATAAACCAAAAATAGATAATCGAGTCAAACGTCAAGTTGATCCTTCCATTCCGATAGTTACTTCGAATAATTTGATATACTCAACGGAACTGAGAATAATAGCTGGTGCAGTGTGCAAATCCCAGTGTTTACAAGATGTTCGGAGAAATTGATCAAAGATTCAGCTAAAGATAACATGGTAAGAAGATAAAAATAACGGTTTTCAATAAACGTAGTTGCTTATTATGAGTTCATTTCTGTAATTTGTAAATTTTACAAGTAAAGCGACTTCAGTTACAGTAATTTGCTTGGTTGTAGCAAGCAGAGGAATCTAGGACGTGGGTTTCATCCCTTATAGGACTCGTCAGCTGGATACACCTGCACCGCAGTGAGTGTTGTTCCCAGTGAGACTTGAACTTCGTACCCATAGCTTCAAACGCCAAGGCGTTATCCACTATGCCATAGAGGCACGATGGCCACTCCTTGTTCAATGGGTTTTAGTTATAACTACTTATTGATATACTTGTAATTCTCAGTCCTTTTACTGGATAGAATTGTTCAGCCTCCATTGGAATATGGGCTCCTATATATTCATTAGGGTCCCAAGCTCACTTCCGAGGAATTAAGATAAGAAGGAAAGATATGCCAGAAGTTCACATGTCAGCAGTTTGGCGAGTCATGGTAGTAAAATGAAACGCTAAACTGAAAAGCACCAAGAACATATTTAGATATATTTTCTCTGAAAACTCTAAAAAAGTATATTAAATCGTTTGTTAAGAGAGGTTGCTCTCCGCGTGACAAAAATCTGGAATATGACACGTGACAAATGTACACTATTTTCTGGAACTTGATTCGCGTACTTTGTTCTTCCAACCGGGATTGGATTTTGTCAACATGCTTCTAGAAATACCCTTTTTATGTTGTCAAGTAAATATATACATATGTAACCGGCAGGATTCATGTAAATGGTTGTTTTCATCTTACACTATTCACTTATAATGGATTGTCTTTATTACATAAAGCACCTCCATTGGCATCCTTATTGATAGACTTAAAATGCATTTTGTGTATGAATATTTACCATAATCTCCTGATAATTTTGCTTGTATCTCCACTGCTTAAAAAAAAGCACAAAGTACAAAATATAAGAATTTAGAGTTTACGTGGCAGTTTGCACATATTGTTTGCAGATAATATATTCCTCTAAGAGATTTTTGATAGCTAAAGGCGTAATAAAAACCAACATTTGAGCATTCATTATTATTTATTTCCCCTTTGGGTTCCTACTGAAATATAAGGCTTCAGTAGCACATCTCCGTAGGAATCTGTTCAATGCAGTCTTTTCAAACTGGCTCCATGACCCCAAACAAGCTTCCATTTCTTCTTCATAACACATCCCCGATGTCCACCTTCAAAAACAAACTCATCGCTTCCGATTTGGATTACACTTGAGCGCCAGGCATGGTGCTTGATGTACCCGAATGCTTTCTTCAGTGAATGTCCAATTCATCGCCACTTTCTTCTGCATATACTTTGAACGAAAGGTTCTTGGTAGGTTTGCTGCCCGGCCAGAGTTCCTTGTTGCTTACTCCTATTATCCTGGCCACCTAATCGATCGTCAGTATCAAGTGAGCATAGGCGGTAGCTGTTGATTAATGTCTGTTGTTTGTTGGAAGTGCTTTTCGTGACGCGCCAAGTTTCTGAACCAAATAGAAGCACTGACTTGACGTTGGTGTTGAAAATCCGGATCTTGTTTTTTATGCTGAGTGCAGTAGATCTCCACTCTGATTTCAGATTAATGAACGCCTGTCTCACTGTCTTTCCGATCCTGGCGTTGACATTCTCATCTGTGCCGCCGCCACCTGTAGTTGAAACGATGCTGCCTAGGTAGGTGTAGGTGAAAGAGTCAACTTCCTTTGGGTTTCTCCCGTTAATGGTTATTGGTGCTTGTTGTTGTTGTCGTGGGTTGGGTATCTTCATCACCTCTGTCTTCTCTATGTTCACCTGAACGAAGTCCCGTTTTCGTTGCCTCTTCTGTCAACTTGGGGGTTTTTGCCTGTAGATCTTCGAGTTTGTGTGATATTAGACACAAATCATTGGCAAAATCCAAATCTACTAAGATCTTTTCAACGGTCCACCCAGGGTATGCCCATCTTCTCACTCCTCACAGTTTCTTGTATGATCCAGTCCAGTCGACTACAATCAGGAAGATCATCGTTGATAGTAGGCGGCAGCCTTTTCTTGCTCCTGTACTCTGTCTCCACTTCAAAAGTGTCACTGAGCTTTCCAATGTGAATCACTTGGCATGTGGCGTCGTCATAGGGCTGCTGAATGGGATTGATAAAGGTTTGTGGTATTCCGTAGTGTTGAAGTAACTGACAAATCACTTCTCGGTCGACGCTGTTGAAGGACTTTTCAAAGTCGATGAAGTTGAGGTAGAGAGTTGACTGCCACTCTATACTTTGTTCTATGATGATGCTTAGTGTGGCGTTGCGTTAAAATTTGATTAGCCCATGATTTGTTCCTGTCGAAGGCAGCCGGCTTGTTCTGGTCATAATTTTGAATCCAGGATGATGCGGATAAATATTTCGCTTGAGGTCGACAGGAGCATGAGTCGGCGCCACTTCTTGCAAAGACTTAAGTCAGCCTTCTTTGAAAGTTTGACAAGGTAGCTCTTCTTCTAGTCGGCAGGTACCTTTCATTTCTTACAAACATTCTGGAGTAGTGATGTGAGCATGTCCGGTATTGTCTCTGAGTCAGTTTTCAGTGGTTCTGGAGGAATTTCGTCTGGTCTTGCTGCTTTCTCGGATTTCAGCAACTTGATGGCGTTCAAGGCTTCATTTCTGCTTGTCTCCTCGGGCTTGTGTTCACTGATAGTTCAATGGCTAGTCTGCTGGTAGTATTTCCAGACCAGTTGCAGGTGGTGGTGGTTTATACAAGAGTTTTAACAAATGGTCTGCCAATTTTTTACTTTGTTTCTCGCCTTTGGTAACTTGGTTTCCTCCACTAGCTTTCATTAGTTTCATTTGTGTTGGTCCCTTTCTTATCACAGAGTAACGTGGTTATTTGATACAGTGTTGTCAGGACTCTCCTATTAGCACTCTATTCTGCTTCACTTCCAATGTGTCGTAAAAGTGTCTTTTGTCTTTGTGCGCACTCTTCTTCACTTTGTCTAGTGTAGAGTTTTATATGTTGTGTTCAGTTCTTCTTTTCCTAGTTCATCCTTGTACTGCCCTGTTTCATCTTTTGCTTCTCCATCTTCCTCCCCCTCATCTATCAGCTTCCATGTGTCCGTTGAGATCCATTCCTCATATTGCGTCGTCTTCTTCCCTCCTAGTACGATTATGAAGGTTTTATTCCATGTCTCTTTCAAAGAATTCCAGTGCTCTCCTATGCAGGTTTATTCAAGGATGTTTTTTGATGCCTCCTATTGTTTCCTGATGACTGGCAGATGTGAAGATGTCCTTTGTAGTTTCGTCCTTCAGTCCAGTTCCTGTTCTGGGTGGTTGTTGAGCTTGAACTGAGGTCTGTCTATCACCAACTCCCTTGAATCGAAGGCTTTCAACTTGATTTGGAAGGTAGGTCCCTTGCACTAGATAGTGAGTGGTGTCAACCCACATCTGCTCTCCTTCTTCATCTTGTAGGCTGATCCAGTAGGCTGTGTCTCCACTTTCTTCACATTGAGATGAAGTCAATCTGATTTTTAGTGTAGTGTGTCCTGGTGTCTGGTGAAATCAAATCCATGTCGCTGCCTTGTGAATATCCTTGTGTTTGTACACACTGCCTCGCCTCCAATCATCAAATCGTTGAATGCTCAGAAGTGGGCGAACTGTTCTCCATTCTCGCTCACTTCTCGAGCGCCTCTCCATCCATGATGAGTTCTCTTCCTGTGTTGTCCGCTCCGAGTTTGACATTCACGTCACCCCACCCATTAGAATCAATTTTGATGTCGCCATCTTGGGTGGAGTGTTGTCCAGTACTGATTGTAGTTTTCTGTAGAATTCCTCCTCCTTCTCTTCATCTGCATTATTTGTAGGTGTGTAGCGTTGCGTAGGATGGATGGTTGTGACTTTGCTTCCTTCCTTTTGAGTTGAGTCTTGCTGTCATTATCCTGATCCTGTAAGAGGAGATTGGTTCCCAGTGCATGAGAGAGAGCCTTCGATGCTCTTCAAGGGGACATCATGATAGCCACTCCATGACTCAGTGTGGTCGTGGTTGTTGTCTGTGTGACAATATCGGAGTAGATTATTGACTCTCCTCTCCAGTTGACAGTTTGGAGAGCCCACTTCCACCCCATCTGCTGATTCCTCGCAGATTCTCAGCCTAGAACTTCTATGCCATTTCTTCTCATCTCTTTTGCAATCTGAACAATCTTGCCAGTCAGCTGCAAACATTGTGCGGACATTCCATGTCCCCATGCCTACTTTTCTCTACATCGAGAGAAGAGAAGACATATCGGCATCATTTCGTTTCTCCGATTCCAGCAAGGAATAAATTTGTTTTATTTTTTATGTTTATTCTGTGCTTTGAAGTTTTTCTAGCGATTAGGTTGGTTTTCTGGGGTTGGGTTACTAGCCATATCCCCAACCTTCCCTCTTTATCTGAGCTTAATACCGGCTACTAACTATAAAACTAGTTAACCAGGCGAGGTTCTAAGCATTCATACTTACTTTCATTTATTACTTTTCCATAGTTTGCGGTATAGTCAAAATATTGCTAACTGAATGACGTTTTAGATATAAATTATTGTCCATGTTCTCATCAGCTCCCTACCTCAACTTCATCGACTTTGAAAAGTCCTTCAACAGCGTCGACCGAGAAGTGATTTGTCAGTTACTTCAACACTACGGAATACCACAAACCTTTATCAATCCCATTCAGCAGCCCTATGACGACGCCACATGCCAAGTGATTCACATTGGAAAGCTCAGTGACACTTTTGAAGTGGAGACAGAGTACAGGAGCAAGAAAAGGCTGCCGCCTACTATCAACGATGATCTTCCTGATTGTAGTCGACTGGACTGGATCATACAAGAAACTGTGAGGAGTGAGAAGATGGGCATACCCTGGGTGGACCGTTGAAAAGATCTTAGTAGATTTGGATTTTGCCAATGATTTGTGTCTAATATCACACAAACTCGAAGATCTACAGGCAAAAACCCCCAAGTTGACA